GGCTCACTGGGTTAAGTGTCTGACTCTGGATTTTGGTTCAGGTCATGATCTCAGGGTCATGAGACTGAGCCCCACACCAGGCTTGGAACCTGCTTAAGACTCGCTCTCCCTCTCCCTCTGCCTCTCTCCACCCCCCCCCACTCTCTCCTTCCCGTTCAAAAAACAAAACAAAACAAAGCAAAAAGCTCTTCTACAAAGCAGGAAAGAATATCCAATGTAAATAAGACAGTCTCTTCAACAAATAGTGTTGGGAAAATTGGACAGCAATATGGGGAAGAATGAAACTGGACCACTTTCTTACACCATACACAAAAATAAATTCAAAATGGATGAAAGACCTCAATGTGAGACTGGAAACCATCAATATCCTAGAGGAGAATGCAGGCAGCAACCTCTTTGACCTCGGCTATAACAACTTCTTACTAGGTAAGTCTCCAGAGGCAAGGGAAACTAAAGCAAAAACGAACTACTGGGACTTCATCAAGATAAAAAGCTTCTGCACAGGGGCGCCTGGGTGGCTCAGTCGTTAAGTGTCTGCCTTCGGCTCAGGTCATGATCCCAGGGTCCTGGGATCGAGTCCTGCATCGGGCTCCCTGCTCAGTGGGAAGCCTGCTTCTCCCTCTCCCACTCCCCCTGCTTGTGTTCCCTCTCTCGCTGTGTCTCTCTCTGTCAAATAAATAAATAAAAATCTAAAAAAAAAAAAAAAGAAAGAAAGAAAAAAAGCTTCTGCACAGCAAAGAAAACAATCAACAAAACTAAAAGGCATCCTATGGAATGGGAGAAGATATTTGCAAATGACATATCTGATAAAGGGCTAGTATTCAAAATCTATAAAGAACTCATCATACTCAACACCCCAAAAAACACAATTAATCCATTTGAGAAACAGAAGATATGAATAGACATGTTTCCAAAGAAGACATCCAGATGGCCAACAGACACACGAAAAGATCTCAACATTACTCATCATCAGGGAAATACAAATCAAAACCACAATGAGATACCACCTCACACCTGCCAGAATGACTCAAATTAACAACACAGGAAATAAGAGGTGTTGGTGAGGATGTGGAGAAAGGGGAACCCTCTCCAATGTTGGTGGGAATGCAAACTGGTGCAGCCACTCTGGAAAATCGTATGGAGGTTCCTCAAAAAGTTAAAAATAGAACTACCCTACAACCCAGCAATTACACTACTAAGTATTTACCCAAAGGATACAAACATAGTGATTTGAAGGGGCACATGAACCATTATGTTTATAGAAGCCCCATCAATAATAGCCAAATTATAGAAAGAGCCCAAATGTCCACCGACTGATGAATGGTTAAAGAAGATGGGTCTATATATACAATGGAATATTCAGCAGTCAAAAAGAATGAAATCTTTCCATTTGCTACAACTTGGATGGAGCTAGGGTGTATTATACTAAACAAAATAAGTCAGTCAGAGAAAGACAAATACCATATGATTTCACTCATATGTGGAATTTAGGAAACAAAACAGATGAATATAGGGGAAGGAAAAAAAAGACGGAGGCAAACCATAAAAGACTCTTAACTATAGGGAACAAACCAAGGGTTACTGGAAGGGAGGTGTGCAGGGGATGTGCTAAATGGGTGATGGGGATTAAGGAGGGCACTTGTTATGATGAGGACCAGGTGTCATATGTAAGTGATGAATCACTAAATTCTACTCCTGAAACCAATATTACACTGTATGTTAACTAACTAGAATTTAAATAAAAATTTGAAAAAACAAAAACCTCTAGCTAAATTGACAAAAAAAGACACAAAATATCAGTATCAGTATGGAAAAGAAAGCATTTCTATAGATCCTACAGATATTAAAAGGATTAGAAGAGAATATTGTGAACAACTCTATACCAATATATTCAACAACTTAGACTTGTTAGGTGGCAAACTTCTGAAAGACAGATTACCAAAATAGACACGAGAAGACCTAGAAAATCTTAATATTCCTATATTTACTAAAAAAATTAAATTTGCAGTTAAAAATATACAATATATATATTTATATAATTTTAAAATTTCTAAATTTTATTTTAAAATGCAAACTACCTAGAATAGGCAAAACAATTTTGAGAAAGAAGAACAAAATAAGAGAACTTAAACTACCTGATTTCAAGATTTTCTATAAAGCCACAGTAATCAAAACAGTATGGTCCTGGCATATGGATGGATATACAGAAAATAAAGCAGAATAGAATTTCCAGAAATAGACCCATACGTATATGAGCAATTGATTTTCAACAAAGTTGCCAAGATAATTTAATTGAGGAAAGAATAGTTCTTTTGACAAATTATGCTGTAGTAACTACATATTCATATGGAAAAAATATTAACATTTATGTTATATACCCTACCCTTATAAAGTGCTTTCTGTCAATCTCAATAAAACTAGAAGAATTAACTTTGTCCTTTACCTCATATACCATATTTAAAAAAGAAAAAAAAATCTTTAATTGAATCATAGACCTAACCTAAATATAAAATCTAAAACTATAAAACATGTAGAGAGAAAATATAAGAGAAATTCTTTACAACCATAGAATAGGCAAGGGTTTTTAGGGGAAAAAAATCATGGGCCATAAGAAGAAAATGTACAAATTGGACTTTATCAAAATAAAAGACACAGCTAAGAAAATGACAACATGGATGGACCTTGATGGCATTATTCTTTTTTTTTCTTAGATTGATTGGTTGATTTTTAAAGACTTATTTATTTTACAGAGAAAGAGAGAGAGAGTGGGAGAGAGGCAGATGGAGATGAGAGAGAGAATCCCAGCAGACGCCCCGCTGAGAGCAGAGCCCGACTAGGGTGGTTTGATCCCATGACCCCAACATCATGACCTGAGCTGAAACCAAGAGTCAGACGGATGCTCAACTAACCGAGCCACCCAGGCACCTCTTAGTGGCATTATTCTAGGTGAAATAAGTCAGAGAAAGACAAATACCGTATGTTTTCACTTACATGTGTAACCAAAAAAAAAAAAAAAGAGAGAGAGAAAGAAAAAAAAAAAAAAAACCCACAAAAAAGAAAAAAACAACAAATTCACAGATGAATAGATTGGTGGTTGCCAGAGGCAAGGAGAGCAGAGGAGAGGGGACAAGATGGGGACACTGCTAAGAGAATAAAAAGACAAGCCACAGACTAGGAAAAAAACCAAACATTTGATAAATGACTTATACTGAGAATATACAAAGAATCAATAAGAAAACCACCTAATTTAAAAATGGTCAAAATATTTGAACCAAATAATACACACAAATGGCAAATAAGCCCATTAAAAGATGCTCAACATCATTAATCATCAGGGAAATGCAAATTAAAAGTACAATGAGAGACCACTACATACCTTTTAAAATGGCTAAAATTTACAAAGACAACCATACCAAGTATTGGTGAGGATGTGAAGCAGCTAAATCTCTCCTACACTTAACAGTGGGAATATAAAATGGTATACCTGCTTTAGAAAACAGTTTGGCAGTTTCTTAAAAAGTTAAAATATTTGCCTACCATGTAACCCATACATTCTATTCATAAGAATTTATCCAAGAGAAATGAAAGCCCATGTCCACACAAAGACCTGTACACTGATGTTCACATTAGCTCAATCTGTAACAGCCCAAAACAAAGAAACCACCCAAATGTCCAACAACAGGTGAATGGATAAACTGTTATCCATCCATACAATGGAATGCTACTTAACAATAAAATCAATGGATTCATGCAACAATGTTGCTGACCTTCAAAATAATTATGCTGAGTGAAAGAAGTCAGACAAAAATAGCACATAATGCGATTCCATTTACTTAAAATTCTAGGAAATGCGTATCAATCTCTAGTGACAGAAAACAGATCAGTACTTGCCTTGGGTTGGGGAGGGCAGGAGGAAAGGATTACAAAGTGGCAAGGGGAAACTTTTGGGAGTGATGGATATGTTCATTACCTTGACTGAAATGATGGCATCACAGGTACGTACATATGTCAAAATTTATCAGACTGTACACTTTATTTTTTTTTAAGAATTTATTTATTTATTTGACAGAAAGAGTGAGAGAGCACAAGCAGGGGAAACAATAGAGGGAGAGAGAGAAGCAGGCTCCCCGCGAAGCAGGGACCCCGAAGTGGGGCTCGATCCCCAGACCCTGGGATTGTGACCCCAGCCGAAGACAGACGCCCAACCATCTGAGCCACCCAGGCACCCCCAGATTGTACACTTTAAATATGCAGTTTATTGTAGGTCAATTCCCCCTCAAAAAAGCTGTTAAAAATGGAAGAGATATAATATTTATAACATATGTATAGGATATAACAATAATGAAACAACAGAACACTCCCATATCCATGACCCAGTTTAAAAAAGTAAATGTTACCAGGGCCACCTGGGGGGCTTAGTGGCTAAGGGTCTGACTCGATTTCAGCTCAGGTCATGATCTCAGGGTTGTGGGATCCAGCCCAGCCCAGGGCTCCCCACTCCAGGGAGTCTGCTTGAGATTTTTCTCTCCCTCTGCCCCTCCCCCTGCTCATGCTCTCTAAATAAATAAATAAAATCCCTTAAAAAGAAAAAGAAAAAAGCGAACGTTACTATTAATTTTAAAAATTTCTGTGTTCCCTGACTCACCCTAAAGCCAAGGCTTTTTTGTTAAAAACAGATGAATGCTTGAAACTATTTTTTGTGTAGTTTAGGTTTTTATGTTCCCAAAGATGAATATTCTGGGGACAATTTTTATCTGAATTAGCTGAGTAATGTAGCAGTCCCGCACAATTTGAAGTTGAAACTTGCCCTTTAAAAAACAGGCGGGCCAAAACGGTGACTCAAAAATAACCCGGTTGAGTTAGGGAAGTCCGACAGCCTCAGCCCAGAAAGTGAAAGGGTTAAATTCTTACTGACTGTGGCCAGGCAACCGTGTCTATTCACGTCCTCTTTTAAAAAACGGCGTCGGGGAAGGAGAGGGACCAAAGGGTAAGCAGGAAGGGGACACTTGGCAGCAGGCTTGTGGTACGGTTTCAGCAGGCTCCGACCACAGACTGTTTTCTTTGCAGAAATCTATGGAGGATCTGGAGAGGGTGGAAGTGCGCCATGCATATGAAACTCCAGCTGGAAACTCACAGTAGTTCCCAAACAAACCCAGAGAAGGAGAGGCTGGAACTGCTGTGGAATAAGGGACTGTAATCAACTCTCCTTCTAAGGGAAGTCGGGAACCTTCTCCCTTTGCTTCGTGAAAACTAAGCTGAATCTTTTGCCAAACGCCTATAAATGAGGCAAAATGGCCCGTGATTTGACTTCAGCTGCATTTCTCTCCCAGCCAGTTCTCTCCTCTGCAGCTGATTGGCTCTGGAGTGTGGCCAGAACTCCACCTCCTGCAATAAAGGAGTCCAGGGCTAACTGGTCTTTCTCTTCTGAATGATGGCGCTTACCGTCTCTATCCTCAGGCTGCTCGTCGGCATCCTGGCATTTCCCATGTTCCTGCTGAACTTTCTAGGCTTGTGGAACCAGATATGCAAAAAATGGTTCCCCTACTTCATGCTGAGGTGCTCCGTGATGTACAACCAGCAGATGGCCAGCAAGAAGCGGGAGCTCTTCAGCAACCTGCAGGACTTCGTGGGCCCCTCCGGGAAACTCTCCCTGCTGGAGATAGGCTGCGGCACCGGGGCCAACTTCAAGTTCTACCCACCCGGATGCAGCGTGACCTGTAGTGACCCCAACCCCAACTTTGAGAAGTTCTTGATCAAGAGCGTGGCGGAAAACCGACACCTGCAGTTCGAGCGCTTCGTGGTGGCTGCCGGGGAGAACATGCCTCAGGTGGCCGATGGCTCCATGGACGTGGTGGTCTGCACCCTGGTGCTGTGCTCCGTGGAGAGCCAGGAGCGCATCCTCCAGGAGGTGCGCAGAGTGCTGAGGCCGGTGAGTGAGGGGTTGTGAGGAGGGCGAGTTAGTGGTAACCACTGTCACCAAGGGCAGTTCTGTCAATTTCAGGTGTCTCAAACATTCAAACATAAAAAGTAAAACTACTAGAGAAGGCACTGTTGAATTTTTAAAAATCTCAGAGTCAGAAAGAAGCTATAATGGGGCGCCTGGGTGGCTCAGTCGTTAAGCGTCTGCCTTTGGCTCAGGTCACGATCCTAGGGTCCTGGGATCGAGCCCCACATCAGGCTCCCTGTTCTGTGGGAAGCCTGCTTCTCCCTCTCCCACTCCCCCTGCTTGTGTTCCCTCTCTCGCTGGGTCTCTGTCAAATAAATAAAATCTTAAAAAAAAAAAAGCTATAAAGGGAAAGACTGATTCTGAATACATAAAATTTAAAAACTTCCACAGAGAATAAAAAAAGTACTATAAACAAAGTACCAAAACATAGTAGTATTTGCCAGGGATGATAGACAAAAAGATTAATTTCTTTCATTTTAAAAGACATTACAAATCAAAAGAGATCAATAGGATTTTTTAAAAATAAGAAAAACACAAGAGAAAAACAGGCAAAGAGCAAGAACAGAAATATAAATAAAGATAACCAATTACGGGGGCACCTGGGTGGCTCAGTGGGTTAAGGGTGGGACTCTTGATTTCTGTTGGGGTCCTAATCTCAGGGTAGTGGGATCAAGCCCTGCCTCGGGCTGGAGCTGGGTATGGAGCCTGCTTGGGATTCTCTCCCTCCCTCTCTCTCTGCCCCTCCCCCACTTCCTCCCTCCCCCCTCTTAAAAAAAAAGGCAATTATATGATGAAAATACTCAACCTTACACACAAAGAAACTAAAGCAAGATACCATTTTTACCTATTATACTGTCAGAGGCTTTTAAGGTCAGTATGGTATTGGGATTTGTTTGGGAGGCAGGATACCCCCATTAACATTGGAGGAAGTGCCCTCTTTGGAGGGTAATTTGATAATATTCAAAACTTAAAGTGCACATAGTCTTTTATCCAGTAGTAATTTATCCTTTAGCTATACTGCACAAATATGCAAAAACTTGTCTATATGCAAAGATTTTCATTGGAGTATTTGTAATAGCATAAATGGGAATTATCCTAAATGTCCATCAATAGGAGGCTGTTCAGGATGCCTGGGTGGCTCAGTCGGTTAAGCCTCTGCCTTCGGCTCAGGTCATGATCCCAGGGTCCTGGGATCGAGTCCTACATCGAGCTCCCTGCTCAGCAAGGAGCCTGCTTCTCCCTCTGCCTGCAGCTCCCCCTGCTTGTGCTTGCGCGCTCTCTCTCTCTGACAAATAAAATCTTAAAAAAAAAAAAAGGCTGTTCAAGTAAATTGTCTGTCACATAGTATAAAAGAATTCTGTGCATCTGTGAAAAAGAACAAGGAAGAGGGGTGCCTGGGTGGCTCAGTCGTTAAGCGTCTGCCTTCGGCTCAGGTCATGATCCCAGGGTCCTGGGATCGAGCCCTGCCATCGGGCTCCCTGCTCGGCGGGAAGCCTGCTTCTCTCTCCCACTCCCTCTGCTTGTGTTCCCTCGTTCGCTGTGTCTCTGTCAAATAAAAAAAATCTTTAAAAAAAAAAGAACAAGGAAGAGTTATCTATGTTAATATGAAAAAGTCCCCAAGAGATAATGTTAAATGAAAAAAAGCAATCAAAGCATAGACTATTATGTAGAGTATAAGCCCACTGTGCAAGGGCTTACACACACACATATGTACATATACATATGTGTATATGTTAATGGGAATGATAGACAAGAAACTTTTTAAAACATTTTTATTTATTTGTCAGAGAGACAGCACAAGCAGAGGGAACAGCAGAGGGAGAGGGAGAAGCAGGCTCCTCACCCAGCAAGGAGCCTGATTTGGGGCTCAATCCTAGGACCCTGGGATCATGACCTGAGCTGAAGGCAGACGCTCAATGACTGAGCCACCTAGGCATCCAAAGAAACTTTTTTTTTTTTTTTAAAGATTTATCCACCTATTTTTGGGAGCGAGCACACAGGGGAGGGGCAGAGGGAGAGAGAGAATCTCAAGCGGACTCCATGCTGAGCATGGAGCTGGACATGGGGCTGGATCCCACGAACTTGAGATCATGACCTGAGATGAAATCAAGAGTCAGATGCTTAACCAACTGAGCCACCCAGGTGTCCTGAAATGTTCTGATTCTTATATCCAAATGCTGGGTTCTTGTGTGCTAAGACTGGGCAGTAAATGGGCAAGGCTAATAAGTGTTTTGCTTACAGCATTACCCCTACAAAGCAAGTAATGATTACCTGCATTTTCTAGCACTCTTAATGAGATCGCATTCTTGGTAGTCTTCCTTAGCTCCCGTGAAGCACCCACTCTCTGCTAAATATAACCAGGAGCTTTATTACAGTGTCATTTAACTCTCACAATAGTCCTTTATAGCAGATACTGTCTTCATGGTGTGTTAAGGAAACAGAGGTTAAGAAACTTACCCAAAGTTACATAGATAGTAGGTCTGACTTTAATGCAAATATTCTTTTTTTTTTTTTTTAAGATTTTATTTATTTAGGGGTGCCTGGGTGGCTCATTCGTTAAACATCTGCCTTCAGCTCAGGTCGTGATCCCAGGGTCCTGGGATCGAGCCCCACATCGGGCTCCCTGCTCCGCGGGAAGCCTGCTTCTCCCTCTCCCACTCCCCCTGCTTGTGTTCCCTCTCTCGCTGTGTCTCTCTGTGTGTCAAATAAATAAATAAAATCTTTATAAAAAAGATTTTATTTATTTATTCATTAGAGACAGAGGGAGAGAGAGAGGCAGAGGCAGAAGGAAAAGCAGGCTCCCTGCTCAGTGGGGACTCGTCCCAGAACCTTGGGATCATGACCTGAGCTGAAGGCAGACGCTTAACCTTCTGAGCCACCCAGGCATCCCTAATGCAAATATTCTTACTGCTGCATCACAGAGCTTGTCATTAGGGCCTTTTTATCTCTCTGACTACAACATTTCTACCACTTTTGCTGGCTGTTCTTCCTCTGCCCATCTCTAAATACTGGAGTTTCTTTTTTGGCTCTCATTTCACTTAAATACAGTCCCAAGACAATCTCATGGACCCCCCCACCCCCACCAAAGTTTTCAACTACCATGCATAAATGGATATTTTCCAAATCTAAATATCTGGCCCAGATCTTTCTCTAACCCTAAACCTACATCTCCATCTCTGTATTCAACAGTCACCTAAACAGGTGACAGGCTTCTCTAGCTTAACCTGTGTTACCCCAAGGGCAACATCGGCCTCCCCAGGCCTGGGCCTCCTCCTGTTCTCATCTATGGAAATTTTTTTTTGAAGATTTTATTTATTCATTTATTTGAGAGAGTGAGAGAGAGAGAGAGCACATGAGAGGGGGGAAGGTCAGAGGGAGAAGCAGACTCCCCGTCAAGCAGGGAGCCCGATGCAGGACTCGATCCCGGGATTCCAGGATCATGACCTGAGCCGAAGGCAGTCGCTTAACCAACTGAGCCACCCAGGCGCCCGTTGGAAATTTTTTTTTTTTAACCCACTCAGGAAATTCCAGGTTTTCCATTCCCAAACACAGGTCTTATACCTAACCATAGAACTGGGGAAACTGCCACCTCTCAGCTCTCTGGCTGGGATAGGCAAGACTAGAGTAGCCGGAGAGGCTAAGAAGAGTGTGACCATCACCATGGGCTTTGGAGGGGATTTGGAGGTCCCTTTCCTCTACTCCCCACAGAGGTAGAAGGGGAGAAGACTTCCAAAGTCCTTCTGATAATGTATAACCTCTACTGTGTCTACACTTCACCCACATTTATAGGACTGCCCTAGATGAAAGCAGCGGTTGCTAATTCCTACAGGACAGTGATTAACACATCACATCCACTGAATAAAATCCCTAATGACACAGTGGTACCATGACTTCAGTAATGCTTTTAGATGCTTCAGTATTTTAATTCATCATAGCATTTACATCCTTGTGACAATGGTACAAAAGTGTAAGACATGATTGTTTAGTCTCAGGCAGTGCTGGGTGTGGATTCAGACTCTCCCACAGGTTTGCAAAGCAGAGCCCAAGAACAATGTTCAGATGAGGTAAAAAAAAAAAAAAAAAAAAAAAAAGTTTTTAAAAAGAAGAAGTTAAAAAAAATTGTAATTAAAAGGCAAACAACGGGGCACCTGGGTGGCTCAGTCATTAAGCATCTGCCTTCGGTTCAGATCATGATCCCAGGGTCCTGGGATTGAGCCCCGCATCGGGCTCCCTGCTCCGCGGGAAGCCTGCTTCTCCCTCTCCCACTCCCCCTGCTTGTGTTCCCTCTCTCGCTGTGTGTCTCTGTCAAATAAGTAAATAAAATCTTTAAAAAAAAAAAAAGGCAAACAACTTGGGTGCCTGCCTGGCTCAGTCAGTAGAGCATGTGACTTTTTTTCTTTTTTTTAAGAGTTTATTTACTTCTTTGAGAGAGAGAGAGAGAGCAAGCACTAGCAGAGGAGGGGCAAGGGAGAAGCAGACTCCCTGCTGAGCAGGGAGCCCAACATGGGGCTCGATCCCAGAACCCCGGGATCATGACCTGAGCCGAAGGCAGACATTTAACAGACTGAGCCACCCAGGCATCCTGAGCATGTGACCTTTGATCTCAAGGTTGTGAGTTCAAGCCCCATGTTGGATGTAGAGATTCCTTAAAAATAAAATCTTAAAAAAAAAAAAAAAGGTAAACAACAAACTAGGGGGAAACATTTGTAGTATACTAAATGCTCTCACTAAGCAGTAAGAAAAACCCAACACCCAATTAGAAAACTGATAAAGGACATCAACAAAGCAGAAGAGAAGTCCAAATCACTAATAAGGCTTAGCAAAAAATGTTATATATATTAAGAAATTAAAGATATGCATATTATTGAAAATGAAATACCATTTCACCCATCAAATTGGCAGGATACAGAGGAAAAAGGATTGATGAGAGTCTTTTGGAAATGGGCACTCACACCATTGCTGGTATGAATGTAAACTTGCAGTGACTCTTCCAAATGGCAATTGGACAACCTGTACCAACAGCTTTAAGAAGGCACAGACTTGGTGCCTGGGTGCTCAGTCGGTTAAGCATCTGCCTTTGGCTCAGGTCATGATCCCAGGGTCCTGGGATCCAGCCCTGCCCGTCTTGTTGGGCTCCCTGCTCAGTGGGGAGTCTGCTTCTCCCTCTGACCCTCCCCCGTCTCGTGCTCTCTCTCAAATAAAAATCTTTAAAAAAATAAGAAATAAATAAAATCTTTAAGAAGGCACAGACTTTTGACTCAGTAGTTCCACTTTTTTTTTTTTTTTTTTTTAGATTTTATTTATTTATTTGACAGAGAGAGACACAGCGAGAGAGGGAACACAAGCAGGGGAGTGGGAGAGGGAGAAGCAGGCTTCCCGCCAAGCAGGGAGCCTGACGCGGGGCTCGTTCCCAGGACCCTGGGATCATGACCTGAGCCGAAGGCAGACACTTAACAACTGAGCCACCCAGGTGCCCCTCAGCAGTTCCACTTTTTAGCAAGTTATTTATTTGGAAATAATTAGAGATGGGCACAAAGATGTATGAATAAGGATATTCACTGTAATAGTATTTATAATAATGAAAAATTGGAAATAACTTCAATGAGAATGAATAAGAGATGACACCTTCAGTGGTGTGAAATATTATGTAAAGAGCTTTTAAACGTTTTAGAATAATATTCGAATACATAAATAAAATAAAGCAGATTATATAACAGAAGGTAGATTCTAGTCCTAGTTTTAGGGAAAAGATACATATTCCTATGATGTACACACAAAATCTTAACAGTAGTTATCTTGAGATGATAGAATAGTGCTTGTTTTTCTGTTTAAACTTTTCTACATTTCCTAAGGTCAACATATGGGCGAGGCAGTATTACCAGCCTCTGGAGCTAGACCGTCCAGGGTCAAACCAAACCTGATCTGACATTTAATAGGCTGTGTGACCTTGGGCAAGTTGCTCATTTTCTGTGTGACTCATTCTCCTCATCTGTAAAAATAGGAATAATACTTACCAAATAAGTTTATCATAAGGATTAAGCAAGTTAATAGGCATTAAGGATAGTACCTTGCATTCAGGAACTGCTGCAAGTTTTAACTATCATGACATACTACTTTTATGATCAGAAAATAGTGCTACGTGCATTAGATTGGCAGCTGTGGATAAAATTTGACAGAAGGTGAGACTATTGGCCAAAACGACATATTAGTAAGTGCTGATTTATCCAGGCCTTCTCATGAAGTTAGCCTTTAGGGCCACTGAAATTGAAGCTTCAATCATCTTCTAAACCTGTTCTTCCAAAACTAAAATCCTGGTTTTTGTTTTTGTTTTTTTCTTTTTTTTCTTTCTCAGGGAGGGGCTTTCTACTTCCTGGAGCATGTAGCAGCAGAGAGCTCAACTTGGAATCACTTCTGGCAACAAATCCTGCATCCTTCCTGGTACCTGCTGTTTGACAGATGCCACCTGACCAGAGAGAGCTGGAAGGCGCTGGAGCAGGCAGCCTTCTCGGAGCTCAAGCTGCAGCACTTCCAGGCGCCGCTGTCCTGGAAGCTGATTCGCCCCCACATCTGTGGCTACGCTGTGAAGTAGCCCCAGTGGGGAGCAGAGAGCTGAATGGCTCATGGCTTCAGGCTACACTTTTACACTTAAAATACTAATTGGAAGAAAGGAAACGTTTTGTTTTTTTTTTAAAGTAAAGTTGCATTTCATCCCTAAGAATTTATGTTACAACTTCTTTAGCTATTTTCTGTTGTCTCCCAGAGGATCAAAACCAAACCAAAGCAAAACAGGGTTCTCCCTTAAAAGGAAATGCTGGGGGGCACCTGGGGGACTCAGTTGGTTAAGCGACTGCCTTCAGCTCAGGTCATGATTCCAGGGTCCTGGGATCAAGCCCCGCATCGGGCTCCTTGCTCAGCAGGGAGCCTGCTTCTCCCTCTCCCTCTATCTGCTACTCCACCTGCTTATACTCTGTCAAATAAATAAATAAAAATTCTCTAAAAAAAAAAAAAAAAAAGGAAATGCTGGGCTTTCATAATTGAAGTTTACCGTTATCCCCAAACTTCAGTTTATGCGATAACTTCAAAATCCTTCCAATTTATATTGTTACCTGGCAGATTTTCCTTTCACCCCCTCTTTGAGAGCTTGGTGCTAAGAGGCAGTGAAATCACTCAAAAGAGGACTTGAAAAGGGAAAGTGACAAGATCTTAATACTTCACAAACTGAGCCAAGAAATACCAACTAGTTGAAAACCCAAATCTAAGTAGCCCAGCTCTTTTTGAAAGAGAAATCTGAATCTATCTGTTGTTCCTAGTAACGGGGCTGGTTTTCAAAATTAATGGACTAGGAAGCCACAGCTAGCTCTGCCCAGCGTTGTTGTTTTTACTCCACTGACGTTTGCGTTCCTGCATTCCAGTCTTCAATTCTTAAGATGAAGAGTGTACTTGACACCTTAGTATAACCAGAAAAATAGCTGAGGCACTTAAGTTTCTTGAATACATTTTCCTTATTACATAGCAGATACTTTGCTGCATGTCTTAAACTGTAGGTAAGGAAAAGGCCCACTGTAATTAGGAAAACCTTGGATAAAATTAGGTACGCTTTCTAAGAGCCCCTAAAACCTAGGCATTCTGGGAGTCTGTAAAGAAGTAGACACGTATTTGGGTGATTATTCTGACCAAATTTCCACTCCTGTCCCAGGATGATTTCTTTGTTCCTTGCCACCATGGAAACCTCTGAAAATCATAAGTGCTTTGAAAACAAGTGTTAGGTTGGTCAGTCAGAGGGATTAAGAATAGCATTTTCAGGGGCGCCTGGGTGGCTCAGTTGGTTAAGCGTCTGCCTTCAGCTCAGGTGGTGATCTCTGGGTCCTGGGATCAAGCCCCACGTTGGGTTCCCTGCTCAGTGGGGAATCTGCTTCTCCATCTCCCTCTGTCCTTCCACCCTGCTCATTCTCTCTCTCTCTCTCTCAAATAAATAAATAAAATCTTAAAAAAAAAATAGCATTTTTGGCAATAGTTTGTGTGTATGTTAATAAATTTAGTATATTCTCTGTAAAGTATAATGACTTTACAAAGGGACTATTTTAAATATGAAATCAATCAAATTCACATAGATTTTAGGAATGGAAATAAAGGGTTTATATCTTTGCTGGCTTGGCTTCATTTTTTTAATGTCTCTGGGAAGGGAAAATTAAGCTATTTGAATATACAGATTTTTCCTTCTACTTCCAGGTAACTATAAACACAGCTAATGGATTTTAGAGAAAGCAATTTTGGAAGGATCACAGTGAGCCTTGAAAAGTTCAAGTCCAGGGATGCCTGGGTGGCTCAGTCAGTTAAGCGTCTGCCTTTGGCTCAGGTCATGATCCCAGGGTCCTGGGCTTGAGTCCCGCATTGGGCTTCTTGCTCAGTGGGAGCCTGCTTCTCCCCCTGCCTGCCACACCCTCTGCTTGTGCTTGCTCTCTCTCATGCACACACTCTCTCCCTCTCTCTCTCTGACAAATAAAAAAAAAAAGAAAAGTTCAAGTCCAAAGACACCCACTTTGTAAAATCCACAGAGTAGAAAGAAAGGACGCTTACTATTCTAACTCTCTTGAACATGAAGATAGTTATTGTTATGGTGAGGTTGGAATGCTCAGCTAAGGCCTCCTGAGCTCTACAACAGGAATCTCCTCTCTCTACAGTCTCCCCAAAGTAGGACCCTCCTTCACCACCCACCTCACTATTGGTTAGGTTAGTCTAGTGACTGAGAAATACGAAAAAACACGGGTTGACATGCTGAAATGTTACCAGCACGCCGGAAGATAAATAATGCCAAAGTACAAAGTACTAGACACATTCTTATCAATTCCTTCTTGTCTAAGTGGCGTGGCAAATTTATCCTCACATTCTGCACAAAACTAAGACACGGAGAAATAAATAAATGGAGTTTCTTACACTCCACAAGTTACTGAGCAGGTCTTAGAAGCCCCAATTCCCAAAACTACAAACCCTTTTTTGACAGCATCGCTGCCGTGTTACCTCCTCACCGCTTTCCTCCACAGGCCAGAAGACACACAGTTACGTGAGCCAACAGCCTGTGGAAGTGACCTAAGCCCATGCAAAGTGGAAACAGAAACAGGCAAAACATGTCCAGCGTGCTGGTTAGGATTTCTTTGATTCCAAGTGGCACAACTCTCAACCAAAAAAAAGGCTTCAGTAGAAAAAGGACTTTAATGACTCAAGAGAAGGCCTCAGGCACAGCGTGAGCAGGGCTCAGCTGATATTCTCAGATGTCACATCTGCCCTCTGTCCGCCCTAGCAGGTAGGAAGTCTGTGGAAGTAGGGCCAATCTTCATGCTTTCAGAGGTCAAGACCAGTTGAAGAGATCAAGTCTATTTTTGCAAAAACTCCAACCAAAGTTCTGGATTGAGTCTCAGTTGGCTCATACTGGCAGTACTAAGTCACAAGCCCATGCCCGAACCAATTACCATGTTTAGATCAGATGAATTATGCTGCCTGGCTCAAGTACAGGTCACAGTGCCTTATTCCTGGGGCTGAGCACACCCAGACCACATGCACTGAGCCAAGGAGGGTTGTATATCCTCCAAATGAAAATGGGGCCTGTGGACGCCTGGGTGGCTCAGTTGGTTTGGTGACTGCCTTCGGCTCTGGTCATGATCCTGGCTTCTGGGGATCGAGTCCCCCTCCAGTCTGCTTCTCCCTCTCCTGCTCCCCCCTCTTGTGCTCTCTCTCTCTCATTCTCTCTCTCTCAAATAAATAAATAAAATCTTTTTTTTTTTAAAGATTTTATTTATTTGAGAGAGAGAATGAGAGACAGAGAGCACGAGAGGGAAGAGGGTCAGAAAGAGAAGCAGACCCCCCGCCGAGCAGGGAGCCCGACGCGGGACTCGATCCCGGGACTCCAGGATCATGACCTGAGCCGAAGGCAGTCACCAAACCAACTGAGCCACCCAGGCGCCCCATAAATAAAACCTTTAAAGAAAAGAAAATGGGGCCTGTGACCGGGGAAAGCAGGAATGGATGCTGAGAAGGCATACCACAAATGCTCCTTAGAAGCACATCGCTGCATTTTGATCAGCTTGCTTTCCTGTGGTAGATCACATAGTACCACGCAGGCTTCTCAGTAGGATAGTTGTATAATAAAAGAAAAAATGACACTGGCTTTGGCATCAAAGTGACCTAAGTCAAGTCCCGGCTGTGTCATTTGTGTACTATGTGACCTTGGGCAAGTTATTTCTCTAGTGTCACCTTCCTCATCTGTCAATGAGGAGAATATCCACCTAAAGGGTTATTGTGAGGAATTAATGAAGTGAAGTGCTTGGTACTTAATAAAAGTTGAACTTCATTCAAGAAATAGTTACTGAGTACTCTGTGCGGTGCTCAGCTTAGAGCCCTGAATCAGTTAGACTTGTTCCTTGCTATCATGGAGCCCACAGCTGGGATCTGACCCAGTCGGGGAGGAGGATCACAGGCTTCCTTGAGGAAGTGACATCCAAACATCCAACCTGAATTCCAGAGGATATTAGTATTGGGGCATAGGAGAACAGCTTGTACCATAGACAAATAAAAGGAGGAAAAACAGGGCGCCTGGGTGGCTCAGTCGTTAAGCATCTGCCTTCGGCTCAGGTCATGATCCCAGGGTCCTGGGATCGAGTCCCACATCGGGCTCCCTGCTCGGCGGGAAGCCTGCTTCTCCCTCTCCCACTCCCCCTGCTTGTGTTCCTGCTCTCGCTCTCGCTCTCTGTCAAATAAATAAATAAAATCTTTAAAAAAAAAAAAAAAGGAGGAAAAACAATCTGTTCCAGGAACTGAAGGCAGGTAGGGCCAGGCCCCAGAGCCCGAGGGGAGGATTGGGAACGACTACTATTTACATCAGCTTCTTCCTTATCTTGTTAAGCCCCTGGATCCATGAGCGAGGTTCTTAATTTTAATGGCTAACAAAACAAAACACCATTGACATTGCTTATGTTTCTATTATAAAACATTCTGTTCCTAAGTTTTCTAATATTGTAATTGTTTCTTCTGAATTCCTACAGACTTCAGACTTGAATAGCAAGTGAAGCAAACATTGTGTAATAGTTCTTTTTTACTCTTGACCCTTAACAGAAGACTTTCCCTTTGGTATTGCTTTAGAAAACCCAGAACTTAACACAACTGAAATTCAATTTTGTTAATCTATTAAGGCAATTGAGAGTGGCATGAATCGCAGTCGCCTAATGTCAACAAAAGCAAAAAAGAAACCTGTTCAGTAAGCATCACTTTAATGATTTTAATACCTAAAACCAAAAGCATTCAGGCTACATTAAAGAATAATCAGAATTCCCTGACCCATGGAACCACCAGATTCAAGAACAGAGGTCATGTTAATTGAGGGCACAGGAAATGAACATAGAGTGGCCAATGTTCCCAATTTCCAGTTAACAAACATAAAACAAAAAGAACATAGTAATTTGCCGACCAAGAAAGGTATTATTTTATTCCTAAAGGAAAGTATTTGGGAACCTGTAAAGAATTACATAGAAACAAGGAAAATTGTCATTCAGAATTTACCACTCTAAAAGTAAAAATCTCTCATGTCCAACAGCTTTAATTCAGGCTGTGTCCTTCTCAATCTTTTTTTTTTTTTTTTAAGATTTTATTTATTTATTTGACAGAGAGAGAGACAGCGAGAGAGGGAACACAGCAGGGGGAGTGGGAGAGGGAGAAGCAGGCTTCCCGCGGAGCAGGGAGCCCGATGCGGGACTGGATCCCAGGACCCTGGGATCATGACCTGAGCTGAAGGCAGACGCTTAACTGACTGAGCCACCCAGGTGCCTCCTATCTGTTATTTTATCACATATAAAGCAACAATATCAGCTTCACAAGAACAAAGGATTTAGGATGTTGAATATTGGGTGTGTCCAAGTTCAATGTCCATCTTACCCACTTTTTTTAAGATTTTATTTATTTGTCAGAGAGAAAGCACAGCAGGGGGAGCAGCAGGCAGAGTGAGAGGGAGAAGCAGGCTCGCTGAGCAGGAAGCCCGATGTGGGGCTCGATCCCAGGACCCTGGGATCATGACCTGAGCCGAAGGCAGACGCTTAACAACTGAGCGACCCAAGCGCCCCTCCTTCTCAATCTTTAAAATGTGTCCGACACTGATGTCAACCTCTTCCTTGGAATGACCCTTCTATTCCATGACTCTAATAGCTAACAATAGAAATGTCTATTTATTACGTGCCTTCTTTATGCCGGGCACCAACTTTTTACACAATTACTATTTTTTAAAGATTTTATTTTTTTGAGGGAGAGCAGAGCGAGAGAGAGCATGAGTAAGTGAAAGAGCACGAGCAGGGGGGAGGAGGCAGAGGGAGAGGGAGAAGCAGACTCCCTGCTGAGCAGGGAACCTGATGTGGGGCTCAATTCCAGGACCCTGAGATCATGACCCGAGCGGAAGGCAGACACTTAACCTACTGAGCCACCCAGCTCCCCTAAACAATTATTTCATATAGTACTCATAACTCTACAAGGCAGGTAAATTACCTACAACTGACAAAGGAGAAAGCAGACCAGTGATGTTCTATCACTTGCCCAAAGCCGCATGGTGAGTGGTCACACCAGTATGCCTACATAGCTTACATGATTCCAAAGCCCAGGCCTCCCCACAATGTTACAGTGCTTCTTGAGGTCTTCTCGAACCCAAGAGCCTGTGGTGAATGGTCCCCCAAGACTCATTCAGTCTGTGTTCAATCCCTTGAGCCTTGCTTATACTCCTAGGTTGTGAGCCATCACCTATTTGAAAAAGATTCTTAAACCTCACACTTTTGCCATTCCTCTGATATTGAGAATTGAACATGTCAAAAACAAAATTCACTGGGTCCTTCCCTAAATAAGCAACACTTTCCAATTTCTTCAACACCTATAATTATTTCCCAAGGACCAGATAAAGAGATGCCCTTATTTATTTATTTGAGAGAGAGAGAGAGAGAGCACATTTGTGAGTACAAGCGGGGGGTGGGGGGGAGTGGGCAGAGGCAGAGAGAAAATCTTAAGCAAACTTCCTGCTGAGTGCAGGGCCTGACTCAGGGCTCACTCAGGGCTTGATCCCATGACCCTGAGGTCATGCCCTGAGCCAAAACCAAGAGTTGGACACCTAACCACTGTGCC